CTCCAGCGTGGCCAGGTTGAGTGATGGCTAAGTTCTCCATTTCGGCTTGAGGCAGTGAAACCTCCTCCGCCCGCTTCCTGGCCTCGCCTCTCTTCCCTCTTCCCTTCTTTGGGATCCCAGCTCCACCAGCTGCGTCCAAAAACTTGTTCATCTTTTCTGCAAAACAAAGCAAGGTTAAACTCTGATCAGAATTCTTAAATTAAATCAACAATTAAAGGTCACACACCTCCCAGTTGCGAGCTCGGCCTATATATCTCAGCCGCGTCTAACATCCTCTGGCTCGTGTACTCCATAATGTCCAGCAAACCCACACCCTCTTTTTCCAACTCCCCCGAGGTCAGACTATACTCATTAAGGTTTAACCCTTTCGTCTTCCAACGACTCAAGTGTTCCACCTCAGCATCAGTTTTATCCCACTCCATATCATCCGCAAAAAAGAATTTATCTTTCCATCCTTTGATGGAAGATGGCCCGGCGCTAAATAAACCCCTCCTCTGCCTACCCACCACCCGGCCCGTAAAGTAAAACCACCCCTTTTCCCTACCACTCCCAGCATTCAAGATGTAAAAGTACTTGAATACGTTAGCGGTAGGAAAACTCACCCCCCGACTTCGGCTATACACCGCAAACGCCACCACCAACCTTACGGCGTTCGGGGTGAGTTGCGTCAATCCTAGACCATACTCTAACAGCAACCACACCAATAGGTCTGGGAGAGGAAATCGCAACCCAGCCGCCAGGTAATGAGAGTAGAGAGGCATCCAGTGGTCCCTTGGGGCCGAACACGCCCTCTCCCTACTCCCCGCCGGCCTCACCAACACACGCCCAGGCACTCCATAGTTCTCAACCAAATGGGCCAAACTACCCCTATTCTCCAAACTTGTTTCATACCTTGCCACCTCACCAACAACTTCCTCCTCAGGGTTGAAACACGGCTCTCTTCCATCCTCTCTTTCCAAAATGTTCGATGGCACCCCCAAATCCCTACTCTCTACCCCCTCAACCCTTCCCTTCACTCTGCCGTCACTAAGCGTCTCTTCAGAAGACATTCTCACAACAAAGAAAGGTAGAAAAAGACACTCGAATTCTCGCAAATTACCCGGTCTCTGCGAAAACGGATGGACAGCGATTGAGTGCAGGTACACCGGTGACTTTTCCAAAAGCTAAACAGCAAAATGGGTTGAATTTTTCTAACTCAACATATATATACATGACGGCAAAACGTACTTTGACGGTCACGGTTGCCTTTCTTAAACCGTCACGACTGTGCCCTTTCACATTCACCGTTTAACTTAACGCCGCGTTCCTTCGAATGTGACGGTTACTTTTCGCATGCAATATTTATTACTGCACGTTTTTCCATGAATAGCTGTCGTCACTGCATTAACCAGACTCACTATTCCATAAATAGGCCCATTTTAGACCCATTGTAAACCCCCAACATATACTTTACACGAAAACTGTCAAGTCACCTATTTCATCTCTGCTACGGCCGCAGTGACCCCGTGTCACCCATTTAATCTCGGCTACGGCCATAGTGACCACGCATCACCTATGACCACGCGTCACCTATTTCATCTCGGCTACGGCCGCAGTGACCCCGTGTCACCCATTTAATCTCGGCTACGGCCACAGTGACCACGCGTCACCTATGACCACGCGTCACCTATTTCATCTCGGCTACGGCCACAGTGACCACGCGTCACCTATGACCACGCGTCACCTATTTCATCTCGGCTACGGCCGTAGTGACCCCGTGTCACCCATTTAATCTCGGCTACGGCCACAGTGACCACGCGTCACCTATGACCACGCGTCACCTATTTCATCTCGGTTACGGCCACAGTGACCACGCGTCACCTATGACCACGCGTCACCTATTTCATCTCGACTTCGGCCACAGTGACCACGCGTCACCTATTTCACCTCGGCCTTAGCCACTCCACTATTCTACTCTATCAAACACACCACCCCTCAACCCCACTCTTATTCGCTACCCTTCCCATCTCCCCTCCTATCATTCACAAGTGAATGACTTCGGGGGGGGAATAGTGTAAGGGCAGCCACACGAGACAAGACAAGGTGCAGAGCTCAGAGCCAACCGCACCTCGGCACTTCGCCGTGGGTGTATGACAGCCACAATAGGC